GTATATAATATAAGTGTATAAGCTGTTCAGATTGTCAAAAAGCCTGTGTTTTTAGGGTTATTAACGAAGTTCATGTACTCAGACCAGTAATATTTGGGGTCACAAGTTTTTGCCATGGATATTTTGTGGGTCAGAAGACAAAAAGTTTGGGAACCACTGGTCTAGCTCAACTTCCAAATAAATGAATCAGTAGGATAATTACTGGAGGCTGAATTAAAACCCAGTGGTTCATAAGATCATGTTCCAACAGGTTGACTTAGGAAGTTAATAAATCTTACAACAATCAGCAGCACAAAAATACAACAACAATGTGTCGTGATGAGTAATCTGATTATTTCAAGAATGTTGCATCAATGTGTTCAATCTGAGGTTTAACACCAAACAATTTCTAATAAGGATCTTGCAGAATTAGCTGTCACTCATGTGATGGGGATCAGTCTCAGCTGCAAACACATCATATTTTAGCTCAGTATCTGCAGAACTGACTCAATTATCGCCATGTTTGTGTTTTTTTTAGGTCAGTTGGCTATGGCGGCCATTTTGACTCCAAAACTTAATTATTAAACCATTACTTTACACAAGTTTCTTTCAAATCCATCCAGTGGTGCATTTCTGACGGAGAAACACGAGCACGCGCACGGACGCGGGCAAAAAAAAAACACGATCGTCCGCCTTCACCTTCCGGCGGCGGGCGATCAAAAGGATCCGACTTGTGTTTGAAGTGTTGCAGCTAAAGAAGCGGTTCTCTTTGATGTTTTATTTCACTGTTTCTGCTCGGAGCTGCAACCTGTTCAGGTTACCAGCAGCACGAACGGAACCAGAGGCCGTCTCTGACCCATCAGAATAATCTGGAACCAAATAAATAAATAAATAAAATGAACAGTTTTCTGTCCTGATGAAGGCTTCTGTGGGTTTTAGATTTCAGCTCGAAGCCCTTGTTTTTGTCCTCCGCCAGAGAGATGCGCATTTCTCTCCGCGTTCCCCTCGTGACATCCAGTCCAGAACCGCGCACGGAACCAGATCAAATCCAGCCGTGCTGCCGTTACCCGCCTCCCCGCTCGCCTCTTACCGTGTCGACGCCTCCCGGCACCGCAGCTACCAGTGTTTGGACCGGAGGAGGCTGCTCTCCGCTGGCTCCCTCCGACGCCATCTTTCGTGCTGTAGCGGTCTGCTGGAGTGAGGGCGCATCCGGCGCGCGCATTAACCGCTGCGCTGCTGGACACAAAGCACGCCCCGGACGGCCATGGAGGAGAAAAGAGACGCGAAATGAGAGCAACTGAGAGGGATGTGTCCGTGTTTAGCTCACGAGCCACCGCAGCTGAGAGGGGAGGGCGGCCAGTCCTGTAGGCGTGGACCGACAGACGCGTAAAATCCAGATGCGAGGGCTCGGTGCGCTCCCCACTGGAGGGGCCTCCGACAGGCTGGCACCGTCTGCCCACCCCTGGAGCTGTAAAACACGGACCTGTTATAAAACAACAATAAGCTATTTTATTAAAATTTCATATCCTTCAAAAAAAAAAACTTTTAAAAACATCAATTATTGAATGAAAAGGGTGCAGAAAGAAGAAAAATCATATTGTAAGAAATACGTGTTTTAATATCGGCTGAAATCAGATGAAAACACAAGTGTTAAATAAAATAATCTGCGATAGGAAATAATGTCATACAACACCAGAATTCTGGAGTGGGGGTTTATTATGCCAAAGACTGGCAAGTCAAAACCACACACTGGAAGAAAAACAGGAAATGGATCAGTATATATACAGAGTCTTCAATGCCTGAGTTCGCCCCCTGCTGACCTATGGCTGAATCACCGGCATTCAGACAAAAACCTCAATCTAATGGTTTAAAAACGGTTCACTTATGTGTTGTTATGATTCGGACATGTATCTACTCCGATTTAATTAACACATAATATAACAAACATTATAAAGGTATTATAAAATAAGGAAACCCTAATACTCTGTTGTTGTTTCTGGCATCAATACTGATCAGTAATAATTATAAATTTCTTCAATATAATGCCCAAATGTTAACATTGGTGTTATATTCTTTACATAATAAATACTAGTTCTGTATGATTTATGGCATTTTTATCCTTTTCACTGCTAATGGTGGTGCAGAGTTTAGAGAAGGCACCCCGCATTTTCAACCATTCATTGTCTGTATTTTAATTATTGCCCGTTCTTTAATTTTTTAAGGTGTATTTTCTTCATCATGGTGTTTAAGTCTTTGTTGCCCATAATTTACACTAGATGTGGTTCCACTCCACTCTGCTGCAGTCGAACCTCCGCAGCAAATTTGCAACCATTAAAATCATTGGGCCTCATGCAAGAACATGTCCGTATTCTTATCCTAAATTTCTCTTACTTTTGTTCGTATGAAGGGTTCGTACGAACATGTCACGTCAGATTCAACAAACTCTTCTATCTTCAGGAAAAATGTGTAAATGAGCTGCGTAAATTCCACCTGTTCTATCCAGCTGCTCGTGCACGCGAGAGGAGATTAGCATAATTACCACCCCAAAAACACCATATAAGGCATAAGGCAATGTTTCCTGCCTCAGCTACAAGGAAGTGTTCATTCATTCATGAAAATGACAGCGAAAACTAAAAAAAGAAAAACTTTGTGATTTCAGAGATTGAAGTCCGTCTGTCAGAGATCC